TTGAAATGATGCATTTATTTTGGAATAGCATTGATACGATCTTTTTGACCAGCTGTAATCAGGTGATCACAAAACTTCCCAAACACATTCAACGTCACTGCAAATATTTGATGGTTTAGATGACATGGATAGAGAAATTAGATGTACATGGAATTATATCTGATAAATCTCTACCACTACCATCTCTACCTCTCGGCGTTTTCATAACATCCAGAAACAATGCATGTAACAAAAACCTTAAATATTGTAATTTGCTCATTATTACTAAAGACTTTAATCCGACGACAAATACACACATATTTCAGAATTAAAAACAGAGGATCATTATGATATAATATCAGATTTGTGTCATTAATCAAAAATCGCCTTCACGATATCATTGTGTAAAATCTAAAATTCTGCGATCCCAAGAAAAGAATTGGTAATAATACAAATCTTACTTTTGTATTACAATCTATGGATAATGATAATTGTATGCGGTATCATCATGTTGTCCAACCTAAACTAAAAGAGATTATATTCTATGACCGAACTATGGGGTTTTATTCAGGGAAGTGATGATCTCGATAATCGCCAAAATTATCGTCATCACACAGATATAGTACCTTATATAGAGCTACCGAATATTACAGTTATTGCAGTTGTGTGACGACATGGGTGTAGAAAACATGACTCGTTTATTGTGGTATGTCGGAAGTAGAAATTGTAATTTCCGTTATATTTAGAAAGCATCAGAGCGACGTTACAATAGTATAAACAAGAGAAATGCTTTTATACCTTTTAGAGGGGGTAATATCAAACAGTCATTTAGAATTAATAATATTAAGAGAAGATTTACAAAGCTGGCACTGGTCAACAGTGAACAATTTAGCTGAACAAATATTTGCTAACCTGTTCTACCTTCAACGTCTTCAATATTACAATATTACATTACAGATAATTAGGTTTTTGGTTCTTGAAAAGGCACTATGACACAAGCGCCATCGTATTAAAATGCAATACCCTACCTTTGACCTGTTTTTTTAGTAATTCGGAAAATTATCACCACAACGCAGATACAATCGTGAATATAAAACTCAAAACTGTTCGTTCACTCAACATAGTTGTTTTATGCGTGTAATTGTTAATCTCTCTTGCCAATTCCAACCTAATTAGATAACCAATCTTTTAACTTTGATAAAAGGTCACTGCGACTAACGGTCAGACTATTAATGCACACCTTTCGATATGTCAAGTAACAAAGTCAGAGTGCAAACCTGCTCAACGGTGGTTATTATGGGAAACACACACGTGCCATTAGGTATACAATATTCATGAGATGACGACATCCTGAATATCGTGAAATTTTGCAATGTACATATTGTCACAATACGCAGAATCAAGGATATTTATTATGCATTCTAAAAATATCTTATAAAATACAACAAGAGTTACAAATATATTTCACGCTAAAATTCTATGACCTGAAAGATTCAAATGACATAACTGTCCATTGATATATGAAACCCCATGGAAAGGAGAAACACAAATTTTGGTTTACCAAGAAATAACAGCTGAATTACTTTGAATACAACGTATTTTGTTGCCGATGAGGGACCTCATTTAACAATTCACTATATAATTAGCATTCCAATAACTGATATGGTACTGGCCACAGTGTTCAGTATAGCAATAATACTCGAATATGTACACTACACAAAATAAAAACAGTAATAAATTACCCAGAGTACAGACGAAAAACTTATATTTACCTTTACAGACTGTTTAACATCAAGACAGCATTACAATAGAATATACCAAGATACGGAAGCGATTTCACCTACAATTTACTGTAATGATCTGTTAAAGTACATGATCATTGCATCCCTCCGAATGATGAATTAGTGTTAAATAACATACACTATTTTGATATTTGGTGTATGTGCTATACAGCTATTACATCCATGGCCAATATCTCACAGTCAGATATTATTCTCCAAAATGAATTCTGGATAATAGATACATTTAGAAATTTCTCGCAAATATATTACGCATTGAGTCAGAGGTGTGTAGACTATATAATAATCTAAACGTAAATACAAAATATTATTCAATAATGAAACAGCTTACACGTACATTGTTTTTTCATATAATTTCATATGTGGTATTGGGCGCGCGTGAAACAAGCAACTATCAGCTTGATCATAGATTGTTTTCAAATCACATAAATTTGTACACTTATGTTTTTCTAGTGACAGATATGTCATGGTTATTTGTTATTGTTCGTTTATTTATATTTTGGTATGTATATATTATGCATATATTGTAGCCAGCATAATGAGATTCAAGGGTTGCTACTGGGCTAATATACACATTTATTAACGCAATAATTAGCCAGTCATAATCAGTTGCAAAAGTTAGTTGTTTAGTTAATTCGGCGCCGAACTTTTATTATCGACTACGAGTACACAGGTGAACAATCATCATTGCTATTCAAAAACGGGTTAGTCTCTTTGGCCCTGCAACATGTGAATCGTTGAATTTCGTTCTATATATTGCTTATCACTTGTCAGAGATGTTTCACCAGTCAGGTGCATTTATGGTAACTATTGTGAACGCTTGTACATACGCTTACCTGCCATGATATACAGTAATTCTTTATAAATATTGCTTATCTGGCTATTCGTAACAATACATTCGGTTATACCCCATTACCTAGTTTGCATTACATTTTACTAGTTTTGAAAATAGTTTAGTGGAAATAATGGTAAAAAATAAAAAAAACATGAAAATAAAGGTTGTTTTACCAACAGTTTATTCCTACTTTTTTAACCTACGTACATTTCATATTGTGCAATACATTTAATAACAATTATTTATTGATTTATTATATATTATGTCATGCAATTGGTAACTATTATGATATACGTTTTTAAATATGATGTCATACATTTATTAAACATTCTGTAATAGAAATGCTGACTGTTATTACATAAGTTCAGTAACTATTTTGACATATATCTATATATCATATCATAAACACATTGTAACTATTATGATATACGTATAGTAACTATTATGACATGCAATTGATTATATTGTTATGCCTTTAAATTAGCAACTATTATGGATTAGAATTATGTAAATCAGTGTTAGACCAACTCAAATATAATTAACAATACAACCATAAAATAACAACCCATAAAATAACACCGGACAAACTAGTAAAAATTTGTATATATTTTATATGTAATTTCCTGCAGTTAGTGAGAATTTTTGAATATAATATCAGTGTATAACTACACAAGAAATGGACTATCAATATATTCGACTGCATTGTCAACACTAGCACCTCCTTCTTTATAAGATTTTGTCTTTGTTTTCAGGATATGACCACATGTACTGTTAATGAGCAGATTTTCACCTTGACTGAAATATAATGAATAATTAAGGAAAATTAAGTATGTACAGGATGTGTTGAATAATATGTTTCGGTCTCAGTGATAATAAATTTAATACATTTTAAAACATAATTTGGACAAAACATGTTAAAACGTTGACTTAATAATAAATGGATAACTTATTAAACACGCATTTCCTACCTTATAATTGCAGCAAATATTCCAATTTCACTGACCGTTTCTCGATTTTCAACGTCTTTCCCACTTTGCACTATATAGTTCTTTACCACAGGCGGTTTTATTCTGTCTATCAAGACGTACTCGGCTCTTCTTTTGTCTTCACCCAGTTCATTCAGCTTGGATACTAAATCCTCATCATATAAGGTATCTCCTATTGTATGAAATATTAGAGCTCCTCATATAATTACAACTGTCGAACAATATTTATTTATTTATTTATTTATTTATTTATTTATTTATTTATTTATTTATTTATTTATTTATTTATTTATTTATTTATTTATTCAATACACAGTTCAACGGGCAAACACATTACATAACAAAAAAAAAACAATACAACTTAAAAGTGATAAATGCTTCCTGCAATTGACTGATCCACAGTCAGGTTTAAAAAATGGTTTGTGTCTCAGACACCTATTTAGAATATAACAATAAATATTGGCAAGAATATCAGGGCAGTCATAAAAAGAATTAATAATTTTATATAAAAAGGGAAGATCAAGAATAGTTCTTCTGTTAGATAAAAGGGGAATGTTAATAAGTTTGCAATAAATGGGATAACATGAAATACTACAATGCACACGTAGCTTTCTACATAAATATTTAACAAATTTAAA